CAGAAATAGGATTCGACTCAGCCAGCCTACCTTATCCACTCGAATCCAGACTTTTAGAAGTAGCTATATGGAACGGCTTGAAACGCTGACCTAGATAAGTCTTATGAGAATAGAGACCTTGATGTATAAATCAATGCTTCTTGCTGTGGCGCTTCCGAAGCGAATCGCTTGGTTGGTGTTCACCCAACGCCTACCAGACTGGATGATCATCGCTCATTGATAAGCCATTGTGTCTGATCATAGCCGGGGTTTCGGCCATTTCTGAGTCGTCCACTGAGGCCATTTGTGCCTGGTTGCGGTTTGTAGAAAGAAACGAGATGACCCAATGCGACTTGGTTCACCAACTCCTCAGCAATAATTGAGCCGATCGTAGAGGGTTGTGGGCTTTGACCCTTGATTCAATCTATATTGGGGGAAGAGGTACGGGGTAGCTTGGCTTCAACAACGCATAGCATAGCCCTTCAGGTTCACCAATCCGCGTACCTGACCCAGCAAGCCATCGTTGACTAGTTAACTAAATGGTAACTAACTTAATTAACTACTCCGTACCTACTTCGTACTAACTGGTAACTAGTCCTCTAACATGTTTGCGGGCATGCCGTGGATGGGCAACCGATCATCCCTTGGTGCCCCGGCCGCCCTACCCATCTTGTTCTTGACACTCCCTCCCCCACTTCTTTTCATCCTCCCTTACACCGCACCTCCGAAGTAACCGTTTCAGGCATCTTTTTATATTTTTTTCCTAAAAAAAAAACCCCCGACTATACACAATACGCATGGGGTTAGAATCTCTTGGCAAATCTCTACTACAGTACATCTCGGTCATGGTGGCGCCCAGTCGATCTCATGACTTGCTCTAAATTCAATTAGTCCGGTTCTAATATCTTGCCTTGAGATTCGTTCACAATCCCACACTCTTAACCGTCGCCATGACTGCGTTCGTTAGTACGGAGTACTATGGTGATCATACCAGAGACCCTCGCAGAAAATCCTCACATTGGCCATCAGATTCGAGATCTGCTCCCAAGCACCTACCTATGCTGATTTCTCCGTCAACATCTTCAATTGGCTAAGCTAGATCTTGCCCTGGCCCGGTCTCAGAGACAGGCCCGTTGAGAGGGCAAGAAGACATGGACTCCACTAATGCGTTTGCTTTTCTCACTTGATGTGGTTGAGCTGCGCATACTCATGGAGCTTTGTGGCCTTGTGGTAAGCTTCCTGGTCTTCCTCGGCTTCCTATCACCTTTTGCTCGCTGCATCCGAAGGGTTCATCAAAGCAGCCCGAAACTTCTACCCAATCGTGCCTGCCTTGTCAGTCAAAAGGGCCGATACTCCATGCACCGAGTCTGCCTTGTATTGTACAGCTTACGGATTGTTGGTTCGTTCCAGTGTCAAACCTGAGTTAGAATAATAGTAACTATGGCTATTGTGGATGAGTAGTCAGCAGCATCTCGCCTATCTGACATTCCGGTCCTATTTGGCCTGTTTGCTGATTTTTCGATTTATGTAGTTGCATATTCTGATGACTTGAGGTGAGACTATGTATACCTAGTGAGCTGGTATAAATTTCAGAAGAGCTTGCGTCACAAGCATGAAAAACGTGCGAGCCACCAAAGGAGAAGCTTTCTGACAACCACATATCCTTCTCTAGATAGAAAGACTGCAGGTTTCATGCGACAGAGAAAGGAGCGGGGGCATGGGGGGGCAAGGAGACCTACGTAACTGCTCCTTCCGTCTGACAGGAATGTGGAGCTTCTGGTGGCAGGCATCAAAAGGCTATGTTTTCATTTGGATTAGCTATTGAGCGAAATTAGGTAATGGTTGCAGAGGCTCCTGGGTCACGCAAATCAGCCTTCACGCAATTGCTAGGTGCCAAATGTCACTTCTAACACTCGTTCGTAGCGCAGCAAGGAAAGGAAACCTGAGTGACCTCCCAAGAACCATGCACAATATACCCAGTCAGTAAAGCTTTCGAGTCATCCTGTCACTGAAGACTGAGATAGCCAACATGGGACTCTTACCGGAAACATAGTCACAAGAAATCTTGGCGGTCTGTTTACCTTGCCTTTCTCATGTTATTGTATTTATACACATATGCAGAATCCAGTCACTAGGGTGACAATGGGCGACTGCGCTATCACAAGTGGACGTCTATTCCATAAATATTTGTTGTTTTAGTCTCATCAAACTTCATCTAGACTTGTCGAATCCCAAGCCACACTAAATTGACATTTTCAAAAGAGGATTAGGTAGACGCTGACTCGGTATCTCCAGTCGTCTTTATATCGATTGGCTCGCTTATTTGGTTGCAGGTTTACATACGAAGCATTTGCAATTGGGCCATAAAGCTTATTTCAATATTCATGCTCTATTTTGAAAACTAGGTCTTCGCCTGCAGACTGCAATTGTGGCAAAAGTCTTGCGAACTAGTGATCTTGTTGTCAGACCCGTGTTCTTCAATTTGTAGGAGTTGTTCCAAGCAGCTCCTCGTATATCTTTCCAAGTACGGGGCCAATACTCAACTAGCCTGGCTAACTGGTTGTGAGTACCAGGGAGGGTTGGTAGATGCTCCTGAGGGCTCAGTTAGTGTCACGCATTGCATGATTTGCGGCCTGTAAATGGTCAACGCACATTCTGTATGCGTATGAACGAGGCAAAGGGGCGGAGCCCATTGATACTTCAGCAGTAGTCTCTAATACGCAACTGGAGATTCAGACCCAATGGTCCGGAATAACAAAGCGGGGTCGCTTAGCCGGATTCAATTTACACTTAGAATGAGTAAAATTTTTGTTGCTTTGCATTTGATCTCACTTGTGATACTATTCATGATTAATTATGTTCAATAAACACAAGGATACCGATCAGAAGAATATGTCCACGAATCTACCAACCACGCAAAGCTCTTAAGATTTAGTGAGTATCTGACTGACCTTTCCAATATAGGCTAAAAAAACAACGAAGAAATCATAGAGTAAAGGCTTTCCCCACATGTAAACCCCGAAACTTCTAACAGAATCTACTTAATGATTCTTGGATGATTCACAACTGTATCTGCTACTGCTGAGTATAATTTCTTTCTGGTACAAGGTACATTCACATGAGAACTATCTATGGGCTTTCATGAATAGAGTTGGCTAATCACACACGGGTTTTACATTAGAACATGTTCAAGCAAAAGTATACTTGCACATAAACAGACGAATGATCAGTAACACTAACTGGCACAACTTATAGCTATCTAGGAGGGTGACTGCTCTTTTTGCCTTACTAGAAACACATTTTACTTAGCAATTACATTATCTTGCCAGCACTCCTAGATCATGGGGACTATATTAACATAGCTATGTGCGGGAAGGGAGTGACACCATGCCTATTGAGCATATTCAAGAATGCAGAGGATGCTTCTAGTGTTCAATCATTCATAGTATCTGAGTACAGCGTTGCTTGTATTTTGGTGTGGTCTTGTTCTACGATCGGTCACTAGTAACCTCAAGGTCCTCAAATTAGATAGGATATACGTACCCGAGTGACAGTACATGCGACACTTAGGAGCAAAGCCCTATGAATCATCGTAAGTTCATCACGGGATTCTATTTTGGTTGTCCCATTCTCCTCTCGGAGGGAGATAAATTCGGCAGATATGATATCCTGTTGAATACTTTAGATCAGAGAGAGTACTAGAAGGATACTATAGAGATCAAACAGCTAAGTTAGACTCTGCTATATATGCTCGAGAAAGAGAAGCAGAAGAAGAGGCGGAAGAATTCCATGTAATTTAATAATAGTCAAGTGTGATTATATGTCTCTTTATGTCATTTGGCCACCAGCCGAGAGAGCTGGTCTACTCACTGGAACGTTGGGTAAGAGTTCATGGCTTTTCTTATTTGGCGCACCCTGTTTGTAAACCTGCAATGAAAAGTGAATGATTCATACAGTAATTTGCGTCATAGAAGGGAATATTCTTTGCCTGAAAGGCTTCAGTGTGGTATTAGTTGGCTGATACCTACAATTTGTATCCTCTTGTGATTGCATACTCGACTACACGACGGTGTACTTGACAGAGATTATGTTCGACCGATTCTTGATACTCATTAGATATGTGTCCCTCTTTCCATGTCATGTATGTATGTTTCGAGATTCTCTTCATGAAGGAGCCAGTCAATAGGCAATTTAGAAGAACTCTCGGTTGCTTCACGTGCCTATGGTAGAGCGTAAGCATTCGAGCTCTGGGGTGAACCAGAGCCCAGTAAAGCTATAAGTGACTGCTCTAGTATTGCAAGGTCTGTACTACAATGCTAGAGACCTCTCGCTATTGAGATAGCGCAGAGGCGTGAAGAGGAATTTGATTCACCTTTGCAGCCTTCTGATCGGATGCTGGGATGTACACGAGGACTTTCAGTTGCAAGACCTACACAAGACAACGCGAAAAGATCCTTAGGTCGCAAGAGCTCACGAATTTCTTCTGGCACATCTACTCCGTAAGAACCAGATAGTTGAAGATTATTTTGCTGTTAGTGCTGAAAACTGTCTCGGCCCCGAACACGTCTCATGTAGCCCTGCATTTGACTGCATAAAGAAGACCGCTCTAGGCCGGCGAGTAATGAGTCGAGTAGTATAATAATGAGGTTGTTAGACTTCTGACATCCTATCATTGGTCATACTTGAGGTAGAGCAAGTTGTAATTCAGTACTTATTACTAGGTAGGTAAGTAGTAGGTAGGTAGGTAGGTCATAGGTAGTTCTGACTGCTGGCTTGGATAAGATTCGGCCAACTAGAACAAAGGCATTCATGATCAGCAAAAGCGGCCCAGAAGAGGGGTTAGTCGGGAAACACCTCAAGTGAAATAAATGTTGTTTAACTTTTTTTCCAAATTGTTGGTGTATGTAGGCGGGGTAGACCATCAATCAACTCAACCCTCTCCTTGCGAAAATCGATTTGCGACTGAGATACATAAGGCTAAGTAGCCGAGTACAGAAGTTGCACCCATGTCTTCATAAGCTGTATAGTTGATATTGCAAACTCAATAGTCATCTACAGTACGAACAGCATGCCTGTTAGACAATCTGCATACTCTACACAGTAGACTCCCTGTCCAGCCTGGGTGCGTCACAGAGCATGAAAATCAATACTCAAATACCTTCGACTGCGGGGTTTTTCTGACTTTAGTAGGCCTTAGTAAGAGAAGAAATGTTGCTCCCAGCGCCTCTGGAGGCTCCGAGGCTGCCATTGATGATCGATCCTGTGTTCCAAGCCTGTAGTTTCCGTACATTTGCCGGAAATCCCGCCGCTCAATGTATGCAGTGAGCCCGCCCCTCGTGATCGTTCGTTGATAAGCGCTGCTGTTTTCGTTAAGTGTCGAAGAACTCATCCAGGTTTTGCCAGTTGTAATTAAGCACTCCGCTTTACATGCATGACTATAAATAAATCTACCTACCTACACGGAAATGTGAAGAAGAACGTTCGTACGTATGCATGGTCGGTAATGTAATGATATGTAAGTAACAGGAGGATTACATGGGCTGTAACTAGTCCAATTTTCCGACATCGGGCAACTGCGGATCTAATCTAAGCGTCCATCATCATCAGTCAACAACTAACAGACTAAACAGTAGGTGATGGATCCATCATCCCACTTCCACTTTCCATTTTCAGGATTCTACACCGGACCGGCTGCGGGGCACTCGGAGGGGAAAGTGTCTGATTTCGCGGGTCGGACTCCTCGCCCACTCTGTGTATGCTCCCGACCACCCTGTTACTCATACATTACATACCTTAACTAATTGATAGCTTGCTGTTAAGTTAGTACCTTGCTCTCAGCACGTTTCTTGGGCCGATGGGGCCCGCGTGTCCATGCTATTAGACCTCAGTATTCTCGCTTTATTTCTGATGTTCACTACGCCATTCCCGGCCCGCTGTCAAGCCATGGCCAGCCAATTTTGGCTGGTGCGCAAACCAGGCATGAAACAAAAACGGCCTGAAGAAAGATACGAGGATGATATGGTAGGTACTGTCACCACCAATACTATTCTAAGATACAACAAATATAATTTGAAGAGCAAGAGTGCAGTGGGGAAAAGAACGCTCTCATAGTCGGCCATAGCTCTACCGGCCTTAGACAGGATCCATCGCTTCAAAGGAGAAAAATAAATAAATGAAGATAAAAATAAACCAAAAAAGAGCGAGAGGGAGAATGGAAAAGGAACGGGAGATATAAAAAAAAAGGAAAAGAAAAAAAAAAAGTAATTTCAGTAGGTAGCGCAGTATTCATCTTGGGCTCCTCACTGTCCTCAGGAACTTAGTTGGTATTTAATCATACGAAATTTTTAATTCGTAGATTATCAGATCAAATTTGCTTCTCTAACTCAATATGATTTACCCGCTTCGATTATTTTGTATTCCATTTTCGGCACCTCTGACTCCATTCTCTCTCACCATTGCCCCCGTCAATTAATCCACCGGTGCATATAACTACCTACGATCCCTCGCCCACAACTTACCGCGCTTCCCTCTTCCTCTTGCCTTGACTATTCCCTTTCACTTATCATCTTCTCGGCCCGAAGCCTTCAAGCTATTTCCATAGCTCCCCTTTGAGTTCTGACTTTGAAACAGATCTCTTTATCCCCTTCCCGTCCTGCGCTTCCCTTCGCCCAAATTATCTAGTATAGCCGATACCGATGGAATCTGTCGTTCGGAAGCCTGAAGTGAGCTTTCAGAGCCACCACAACATGGCTGTCAACCAACAGCGAGAGCAATCTCGGCTCAAAGCAAGCCCCCAGGACGATTTACACGATCTGCTCTGTGTGGGATTCGGACCTGCGTCACTCGCAATCGCAATTGCATTGAACGATGCGCTGGACCCATGCTTGAATAAATCCGCCTGCAGCTCCGGTTGGCAACCCAGAGTCTGCTTCTTGGAGCGCCAAAAGCAATTCGCCTGGCATCCGGGCATGTTGCTACCTGGATCAAAGATGCAAATTTCTTTCATCAAGGATCTGGCCACCCTCCGTGATCCCCGCAGCAGTTTCACCTTCCTTAATTACCTTCACCAGAAGGAGCGGTTGATCCACTTCACGAACCTGGGCACGTTCACTCCAGCTCGCCTTGAATTTGAAGATTATATGCGGTGGTGTGCGCAGAGATTCTCCGAAGTGGTCTCCTACGGAGAAGAAGTTATTGATGTGGTTCCGAGCAAAACCGATTCGACGGGCTCGGTAGTTGACTACTTCATTGTCCGGTCCCGCAATGTCGAAACTGGAGAGGTTTATTCCAGAACGGCACGTAAGGTTGTGGTTGCCCTTGGTGGCAGTCCGAAAATGCCACCAGGCCTTCCCCAGGACCCCCGAATCCTGCACTCGTCCCAATACTGCACCCATCTCCCTTCTCTCCTGAATGACGAGCGCAAACCGTATAATGTCGCCGTTCTTGGAAGCGGTCAAAGTGCTGCAGAAATCTTCCACGACCTTCAGAAACGTTATCCCAACTCCAAGACCACCCTGATTATGCGGGATACATCCATGCGACCTAGTGATGATTCACCATTGTGAGCGCGCAACCCTCCCCTCTCCCCTCCAAGTACTCTTCCCCGTCACTGGCAAGGTTTAATTGACTCAAGGATTTAGCGTCAATGAACTCTTCAACCCTGAGAGAATCGATAGGTTTTACAATCTCTCTGCCGCTGAACGTCAACGTTCCCTCAAGGCCGACAAGGCCACCAATTACAGTGTAGTCCGACTTGAGCTTATCGAGCAAATTTTTGATGACATGTATACTCAGCGCATTCAAAACCCGGATGAGACCCAGTGGCAACACCGCATTTTGCCGGGTCGCAAAGTCACTCGAGTCGAACATCATGGACCCCAAAGTCGGATGCGTATTCACATTCGAGCCGCCAAGGATGGAGCGGATAGCTTGATTGGTGATGGCAAGGAGATATTGGAGGTGGATGCCCTCATGGTGGCAACGGGCTACAACCGCAATGCACACGAACAACTTCTGAAAAACGTGCAGCACCTGCGACCGGTGGGGCAGGATGTGTGGACCCCCGGTCGGGATTATCGGGTCGAAATGGACACCAGCAAGGTTAGCTCCCATGCGGGCATCTGGCTTCAAGGCTGCAATGAGAAGACACATGGCCTGAGCGACAGTCTTCTGTCTGTTTTGGCGGCGCGAGGTGGAGAGATGGTGGATTCGATTTTTGGTGAACAGCTCGCGGGTGCGACAGTGCCGGCCACCAGATTGCGCGCCATGCTGTGATAGAAGAAGGGTTTAACCAAGCGAGTTACCCGCGAAATTACCTCATCGACATTGCCTATGGACGCAATAGATCAAAATCTGATGACTGAAAAGAAAGGAGTAGTGGAAATAAGGGCGGAGAAGAGCGAGAGAAAAAGAGAAAGGCTTTCTTCAGGATTTCCCTAGTGTAAACAATATATCTGTTGATTGTGTTTTTCCCTTATGATGCATACATGTACTACAATTCTGGCAATAAATGAGCGACTCAGGCAACTTCACATACAAATGAGATTATGTCTGTTCTAGGATCATTCCTCTCCATACACCAACGAGCGGGAATCAGCGCTTAGGCTGGCAGCGACACCATCTGCCTCGCGAGGAACGCTTCGAAACGGTAAAGTTGTTGACCGAGCCGATCCACTGACATTAAGGCCGATTGGCCACTTCCGGGTGCCACACTAAGGTTGAAGGTATAGATGATAGGTACGGTACGTACTTCGTGGTTCGTACACAACGAGAGTCATGGTGGGCGACTCGAATCCATACCTCAAAAACCGAAACAGGAAAAAAAAAGAGGAAAAAGAGAAAAGAGATGTGGGGGCAGGGCGGAAACGGGAGGAGGTCGGGGGTCAAGGCAAGCTCCAAAAGCGTTATCTAATACCACTCCGATGTCCGTCTTTTGTCTGTCGACATATTGAGTATTGTACTTAGTACCTATTACTTACAGCCGCGCGCCGCACAAATTGGAGCTCAACCAAGATGGACCGGGGATGGTGGAAGGGAGAGAGGGGGAAATGTCGGAAGGGGTCCCGATAATCTGATCTGATAAAAATTTTCACTCGTTATCTGATGGCGCCATCCCGCAGCAACCGTAACTTGTTCTGGGAAACTGAAACAAGGTGAACTAGACGGTTTCTGAAACCGGAGATTTCTCTCAATTTGTTATACTGGGCACCTTTGTTACCCGCGCCAACCTTCTTCAGTACCTTTGACCTTATTCTTCTCGTCGGTGCCGAGAGAAGTTTGACGGGACTGCGAACCTACCGTAAGGGACGTGACCACCGGTACCTACCCGGATACGCGAAGGGGCAATGCGGCCCACCCTCCGCTGATTGATTAGATGAGACCTTGCGTCTAAGTTAATCTACTGGTTTTCAACTCAGCGTGGTGGCTCCTGGTCTGCCGGGCCTCGAGTGCTCTGTTCGGAGCGGTCCCATATAGGATCCAATAAGATTTGTCGGCCGTCTCTGAATGTACCCAAACCGGTACTTAGTCTTGATTCAATAATGGTCGCTCTGAGCTGGCGAGTCGTTGATAGGGTTTGGGGAAGGGCTGACGATTGATAAAAATTCAAACGCCCCACTTTCACCATGTGGTGCCCACATTACCAAGGCCCTAAACGAAAGACGAGGGATTAAATAGCAAGGAGGGCTTTTGCTTCCCGGCTCGGATAGCGTCTCAATCATCAGACCATACACAGTAGGCTAGCAGTAGTACAGGCAGTATCATTCGCCGAGTACTGTGTAGAACCTGTAAAGTAGTATTCATACGTCTTTCCCCGTATATCTAATTTGATTGGATGAGTGTCAAAAACTGAGTGTCAAGCCCGCCAGTTGTGTCTCATGCTGAGTTGAATGATCTGGAGTCAACATGATGTTATCAAGGTTTCTGATTGACTAGGGCATCAGTTTATGATATTCGACGCAGCGTGCGAGACAACCGAGCTATGTAATGCAACAAGCGAAATCGCTGATCATCAGCCTCAGTAGATTACTACTCCTGTGCGGACATGGCTTGCGCTAGGCTGGTCACCCCGTCGCGTAGAGGAACGTCCATGATTGCCAATAACAACATAGGCAGGGCATGGAGCCAAAGATTGGAGATACCTTCGACTAGACCATCCCTTTAGCTTAGGGGTATTCAACCGAGCAGATAGTTACCACTAAACTACTCCATGTACATAGTGGTAGTATCTGATACTATCATATAGGCATGGTGCACATAACAAAGACTGGCCTAGACCAATAACCAATAAAAATTCTGTGAAAATAGTTGTATGGGTGACCTCTACAACCAAACTCGGACATGCTTCTAGTGCAGTGCTTGTATGCATGGGTGCATGTATATGCATGAGTTCATTAGTGTACACGTGAATACTTCTACACCAATTCTCTAGCCCCTGAGCCATGGGCAATAGGCAAACACTAACCTGACTCCCATCCACTGGAGCACAGAAGGAAGAACTTATTTTCTTTATGGTGATGTCGACCTACTCGATTGCTTACTTACTTACTAGATGGTGCCTGCCGAGATAAGATCTTAGCATCATTGGCCCTTTCAGGTTTTTCCACCCACCTCTCTGGCTTTTGTTTTTCTGCGACATCGGGTTCTTGGCATCTGGTTCTTCGGAGTAGGTTCATTACAGGTCAACGGCGGTAAGCTAGGAAACTTTTGGGTACGTACGATGTACATACATACAGCCATACAGAACTTCTGGTAAGTGGCATTCCTGTCATACCTGGCCCTATCTTTGTCTTGGTTCTATGCTCTAGCGTTTCAAACATGTTCCCGCTTCTTCTATTTTGTCAAGAGTCGCGGCAATTTCAGGTGTCGCATATTGAAGCTTGGAATGTCCGACATTCATCGCCATTATTGTGCATGTTATGGTGACATTTCCGTTCTGAGTAACTGCATTAAACTTATTATCCCGGATTGACTACTGCTCCGTCTAGCATCAAGCAGCAAAGGAAGTCTTTTGGTTGTCCCAGCTTCTTACTCTACGTCCAAGTCAGCGCAACCCATGCCTCTAGCTCATACATAATTCACAACGCTCATGCATCGTCAATGACTGATTATTTACTATCAAGATATTCCCAGTATGCAAAGCTTGATACATGAAGGCCGTGATGGTAAAAGTGACGCTTGAGAACGAATGCTTTGAACGAGAGAGCCAATCAGATAATATGTGTACACTAGGATCCACGCGACAGGGATTTACACGGCTCTATTTCCCCTCAAAAAGCATGAATCCATCAAAGTGTCCGGTCCGTCTTTGAAGGTTCTATTATAATGAACAGAATATGCTGCTCTAGGCATTTTGCTCCAGGTCATTATCGGCCAGGCTATGGTAGGTCCCATCGCAGTGCACTCGCGATGGGACCTCATACATGCGGTTGTAGTTGACGATTTCACCGCCAAGCATGGCGGAACCTGGTTCTCGCTGTCCAAAGTAGGGCGCGGGATCGCACCAGAAATCCTGACAATTGGTGATGATGCCACGGGAAAAGGGATTTCTAGGCCGAGCAGCCCGCGGTCCGTCCCGTAACCCATCTCGAGCTGTTGCGAAAAATGTGTCGATTCCGAGAAGAGAGGTCCATTGTCGCACACAGCCATTTCTTGGGTGTCGCTGAGAAGCATTGTGCACCAGAGCGGGATTGGGACCTTGGCCGGCCGAAGAGAGGCCAGCTGCATCTAATGAGGTTGTACCTGCCGTTAGAGCCGAGGCAAATGCTCTTGAGCTCGGATAACTCCGATCAATTGAATGGCCCCTCATGTTTTCATAAGTTGTCTGGTTTCGAGAGACCTGGACCAGCTGAACCGCACAGAGCATAGTTATCCAGACAAGCTGAATGAAGACCCATATATCGAGAACCAAAGTGAACGTATCACGGAGTATGAAATCACACAGTGCGTCATTTAGGACATTGCATTGTGGATTCGCAGGAGCTGGCAAAATATTGATATCTTAGGATCTGTTAGCTAAATAACGCTCCCTCTTATCAATTACTTCGGATTGTGCACGAATAACTTACAAGTAAATGTCAAGCGCAAGAATAAGACGATGCCGATTTCTAAACATATTATATATGAGACAAAGTGACGCAGGTTGTTCGCTCCGACACAATTGTCGATCCATGGGCAGTGACTGCACGACGTCAGTGGCCGCTTCGTAATCCGTTTGCAGGGTGAAACTCACTGATCATGCTTCGCAACGCACCGCCCACAACGCTTGCAATGCTTGCTACGCAACGGCTTCCGAATCATACATGAAACGCAAAAGTTTTCTTCGTCGAATCTCCATTGCTCGAAGAGTTCAGTAACTACTGCTCGCTCTTGGTTCCTGCTACCCATCTTCGGAACGAAGCCTGGATCCTCGGACATCGCGCAGTAATAGAAATATGTTGTAAGAGAAAAAAACAGAGTGAAGAGAAGGTTGGCGATCGGTGATGACGAATACGTCACTGAGCATGCACTGGTTAGTTTGATGACTCCATGCTGGATTTTCGCGCGAATCCTGTCTTGAGAAAGCACATGGCGACAAAAGGGAGAAGATTCGAAGATACTGACCGGGTAGCAGATAGAAGGCATATCTAAAGCCGACCCAGAAAAGAGAGCCTGCAAAAACCCCGGACAGGTAGGGCTTGTTTCAACATCAGCGTTGGCGCGAGACATGAATTTGAGCGAGGTGACGGTACGTACCGTCTTTTGGAGAATCCGATACTCTGGAGGGCCGTGATTAGCGACTTGTTGAGCCATCCACTGAAGAGCATAAACAATAAGCAGCATAAGTGGAATCGCCACGAATACAACCATATTGCTGAGAATCCAAATAGCAGCGAGAATCATAAGGAAGGGCCACAAGAAGAAGAATTTCGATAAAGCGTTCTTACTCCGCACCCAAGGCGTCAAGCCCATGGGCAGAATTTTGGTGTTCCCGTTCAAATCATAACCACATTCATCTAAAGCACGATACCATATCCGTGTCGTGTTCATCTCACTCGCCACAGTAGCTGGAGATTTGCCATCCCTAGTTTTCGCGAACCTATCGGCACCATACTCTATGAGCTTCTGGACACAAGGAAGAGATCCCTTGACCAAGGCCCAATGCAAGGGGGTCAGACCACCACCATCGATAGCATTAGCATTCGCGCCCCAACGCAAATATATATCCACGCAGGCAGGATAACCTTTGTATGCCGCCCACATCAGACCTGTGTGGCCCTGTTGATCGGGGACATCCACCGGTATTTCTTGATGTAAGAGGAGCACCAGAAGGAAAGCATTTCCATCAATAGTGGCAAGATGCAGAATATTGTAGCCTTGGACATCGGTAAGAAGAGGATCTGCGCCGTGCTGAAGTAGGAGGTGTACGATGTAATAATGACAGCGTTGCGCAGCCCACATAGCCGGAGTAGCCACTGATTCTCCTCCCTTCGCGTTAACATCGGCACCAGAATCGAGCAGGAATTTGCACATGGCATATTGGTTGTTAATAGCAGCCCACTAGATAAAAAGGGACACAATGTCAGTGAATGAACTATGAACAAGGTAACTAGATTGCGGAGCATGGGTCATATACATACATGTAATGGTGTGATCCCTTCTTCATCTCTGTAGTCAGCTGTAAAATTCTTCTCATCGAACAATGTCTGCATGACTGAGATCTCGCCGATGCGAGCAATCTGCATGATGTCTTCGCCCAGTCGAATCGCACCCTTTATGTTGGACCGCTCCACCTTCATGCTCTGAAGTTCAACGGTCGCATCCTGCTGAACCACCTTGGGTGGGGTTGTGCTGCTCTTGCCGCTGGGCATAAACGGAGGACTTAATGCCAGACTCGCAGGATCGCTGCTATTCTGCGGTCCAGTAGAGGACATTCCTGACGACATTCCGTATGTAGCACGATTGTTGCGATAAAGGACGTAAGGATACAGGGTTTTGTTTGCGGGGCAAGAGGGAGGCGAACAAGACCGTCTCTGAGATGGAGGGTAGTCACTTTTGCCGGTCGACTGGCTGGGAAAACGAAGAAGCTAGCCCTTGGCACATCTAAGGAAGCATTGCGAACTCTGGCAAAAAACGTCTCGTTTGAGAATTTATATTCGAACGTGCCTCCGATGAATAATGACTACTTCTGGTGGCGATATGATGCGAGTAAATGGGAAGGAACACACAATGCTTGAAAGGCCAATTTGGAAAAGATGAAAGATGCCAGGCGAATAAGGCCAAAAAGAACACCTCTGCTCGTTATTATATGGCGAGGTCACGAAGGCTCGGAGATGGGAGATGCGCGGGTGGTTTGAGGCTGGCTGCCTGGGGGCCTGGGGCTGAGAACAACTACGCGGCTGGCACTCAGCCACTCTTAATTAATAATATGGCTCTTAGGCTACGTACCCAACTAGGCAACTGAACCAACTACTGTACTATAACAATATGGACGTAGTGATACCACCTCATGAGTGCCTAGTAAAACATGTATCTGGACTTAATCACCTTGCTGTCTCTTTATGAACAGACATTTAGCAAGGGAAAGGTGTTTAAAACCATCGAGAATGGAGACGCAAGATGAGGGAAAAGTATCCCATACGTAAATGGCTTAGTTATGTTGGATGTTGACTTGCAAGCTTTTCTGCCGTCCCTGCTCAGGTTTCACTGAATAGTAGCGAAGGGAGCCAAGTGACCAACTATTCAGTCAGTTAAGCGGGAGGTTATACCCAGGCTAGGTAGCCTTGTTCTCTCTTTCACATACCACCACATCCACAAAACCAATTTATCTCTGGTGATCTAACATCTAAATGAGTACCCAGAATTGGTGTAACTGATTACCATGCAATTGGTAGCATAATCTACTATACCTCGCTGGATATCAATTCAAGAAAAATGCAAAGTCACCAATAAGGCAGCTGAGCACTGCACAGGTCAGAGCAAAGGAATCAGTCAATATAGCCTCACACCTGAAGCAAGGAATCATTCACTGCTTTGGTGGATGTGTTTCCAGCCTGATCCAGCCCGGCTTGAAGCAGCCTTGCTTGCTCGAACAGCATCTGGGCGTCGACCCGCAATTCGAAATCTGCCAAAAAACAGAAGCTGACTTCCAGTTTCAACAGCTCACATTCGGTCACTCCGCCAACCTTGGCAACTCGACTATGTGGATAGTTCAAATCCTCTAGAGTCTTCATTGCAACTCGAAGCCCCGCGAGAACCAGACGATGCATATTCCTTCCGTTAACTTGGATCACTTTCTCGGTGGTGACCATCCTGGTGATATATATGCTCGTGGCCAGGTAAACGCCTGTGGACATGGGACAATATTGGTGGAGACGTAGTAGGTAATCCTTCAGAGTAATTGGGGGTACCCGCTTCGAAAGGAACCTCTTAGAAAGTACGCTCCGTTGCATTAGGTCGTGCCCCAGGTTTTCATATCTTGCTGGAGAGCAATGTAGTTCGGAAGATTTAAGGGGCGTGCTCTCGCCACTAGAAACATTGTCACCCGAGGTCTGGGCACTGCAAGACACTACGAGTCTCTGAGAACATCGTGGGTCTTCTGAGGATGTCTTCAATAGGATTTCGATGCTAAAGCACAACAGCCTCAGTGCTGTGCCTGGTGCGATGTGGAAAACATCGGCTACAAGCCAAGCCTTCGAATCATCCTCAGGCCCGGCTTGTTGATCACGCCGATCGGAGAGCTCAGCGGAGGGTGTGACAGAAGGCAAATGATGAGCACATCCACATTCACCACTCGGAAGATTCATTGTGAAATCCTGCATGCAATGATAAAGGCAGGTGCAACAGTATTTTGGGCAGCCTTGAACCTACAGGCAGAGATTAACCTCTCGTATAGGGATGGCATGGTATGACTGAGCCCAGTGGTTAGATATACTATTCGAACCGCATCAATGTTCGGAATGGCGTGTACAAGTTGACCGTGGAAGGAGGGAGGAAGACGAGTAAGATGGTTCGCGTATGAAGAAAGGAAGAGAGTCCTTCAGGCACCTGCGACGTAGGGGGGGCCACAGCCTTAACTGCTGCAGGAGTGGACAATACTTGGTCAACCTTAAGATCATCATGTGGAAGAGTTGACTTACAGTGCTGACTTGGGATATTAACAGCGCGTTGATGAATTAGCAGGGTAAGTGATTAAGAAAAAGCGTCATCTTTATGCGCCAGTCTGTCGTGAACAAACATAAACATGGAGGGCGATCTGGCAGACTTGAGAAGTATGAAAGTGGTCCGGACATTAGTTCGTCCGGTTTCAAGCCTCATCACTCGCAATGCCCCCAGACAGCAGGGGATCTGATTACATTAAACTGCTCTAGATAACTTACAGCAATAACTTGCCGATGGCATACAGACTTGGATTCCTACTTCGCAAACATTGTGACTACACAGTTCTCATTCTATTTCGGCCATTAATTGTCTGGGGTGCCGGCAAGAGAGAGCTATGAGAACGAGATCACTCAACAAAGATATCATCCACTTACTACTTACTAATGCCTTTTGGTCACTTAAGGTCCGTATCCATGCAAGACCAGTCTTCCCTGTCGTTCTGCTTCTCATCTTGTCCATGTCTCAGATGTCAAATGTTCGCCCGTCCCATTTTCTCATGAAATTGTCCGAGCATGGATCATTTCTATGAAGCAAATCAGGTTTCAGTCTTCGCACCCTATCCTGAAAACAATGTAAGTCAGACTCGAGTTCAGTGAGCCTGATCCTGTGGCCTATATTTGAGAGTGAGGCTTCGGACTCCGACTCGGTTTGTAAGCGTGGCAGAAGAGACTGAATGGCCCAATCTGTGGGAAACAAAGCAGTATTCAACGGCGCATCTGCAATCAGGCCGTGACCTTGCGAAGACTCTAGCTGGTCGTGCCTCTTTTTTTCTAAATACTCTAGAGGTTCAAATGTTCCTTCAAATGACAGATGCTCCAGGGTTATGCCTACTTTGCGTGCGAGTTCTGCGACAGCTTGGAACTCGAGTAGAGCAGTAAAATTTTTAGAAATTTGCGAAGATGCTGCCTGTTTGGCTTGCGTCCCCGAGTCCCTTTGCATGGTTGTAGCAGACGAGGCCGGCATCAGATTGGCCACTTCAGTGTTATATATACTGTCGAAGGCTTCAAGTGTCCCACAAGACGAATCTTGCTCCTGCAAACCCTTCGTGAAATCTCTCGTTGCGGATGCCATCAGCGAGACTATGTCTCCAAGCTATAGGATTAATCAGTATTCGCGCCCAAGATTTCGACAAGTGACCTACATGGTGCAACCTTTGAGCAAAAGCAGCTCGGAGAGCGCCATGGTGTATTTGGATTTCGCGAAGTATGGGCTCAATGAGTTGCTGTTTTGTAGACATTTCAGCGAGGATGTTAATTTCCGGATGTAGTGACTCCAGTTCTTCTTCCAGGGCACTCAGAATCTCAGATTCAGTCCGTGTCGTCTCGGTGGACATGGTCGCATAGTCTATCTGTATATTGTTCAAATACAAGCGATCTAGCCGATGCTGTACCTCTCCAGCGACATACTGAGCATGATTCATACCCAAATCTATAGCACGCCTGGCGACGGAAGCATGGTGTTCGAGATGTTTAACTCCATAAGCAACTCTCTTAAGGTGTACGAGCTCTTTATCGTCGTATTTCAGTCGAGTTGTCAAAGAAGAGAGTGATTTTCTCCCCTCCGCCGCTACTCTCTCTTGCTCGTGCTTGATGTCAACTTCCAATTCTCGAGATATTTCATTAGACTGATTGTATTATCAGTGCTTTTTCTCTAATTCACCGCTTAAGAAACTTACTACCGCTGCAGCAGTCTGCCTCTCTGATACAATCAACGAACGAAACCTCTCTGTAACTATATCGACCCTAGACTCCCGTTCTTCCTTTCGATGCAGCTGACTGTTCATGAGTTGATATTGTGAAGAGTTCATGGCTGTCTGACGTCGTATAGCGACCGTGGAAGCATTGAGCGAAATGATTGCTTGCTCAAGTTCTCCTTCAAGGAATGGCCGAGTCGCGCGCGTACTTCGACTGCTGATCAGCTCGTCCAGGGCACCCGAAATCTCGAGGGCAGAGTATCTTTAAAATTGACATGGAGCAGTGTCAGTCAGCTATAGATTGGTTTCGGTCATGTACGGGGGATGTGGTGGGTACAATGTCAATTCTTCTTGCGACAATAGCAGATCGTTGGTGACATGTTCCGTCACCCAATCCGCATAAGCTGAAGCGCTTTCTGCATTTTCGAAGGCTGATAGGACCTTCTTACGATCGACCGTGATATTGCGCTCCTTGAATGTATCGAAAATGATGTGTGCTGGCTCCATTGAACTCATTGTTTATTCAGGTGGGTACTGGCTCGGAATTCCTACCCGTGTGTGGCCCAAAGCGACGGCATCAGGCAAGATTGGTAAGCCTCGGCATTGCTCGCTATGGACGTCAAAGTCTCAGGTACGGAGTATTGCACCGTAGGTTACCTCATTCCACTCATGACCGGGGTGATACGTCTATATACACCACAAACTCGAATAACTCCTACACCATCTACCCTAATAAGGCATACTTTCTCGTACGCCGTATGATGGTATAATAAGAGTTAGTCTTTAAGGGCGCAGTCTGGTGAGATCGGCTGCAATCTGATATCCAATCTAGCTAACACAACACGCCTTCTCAGTAGACCCATCAGGCCTCTGACTCGGTTTGCGACTCAATTTGGGGATAGTACCATGTGCTCACGGCTATGATCACGTACACTAAGACGCACAGTCCCCCTTCGAGGTAATTGGATTTCCCGTCGCGGAGAAAGTTACCGACAACTAGGATGGCCAGCACCACCAAAACAATCATAAAGATTTCAAAATTCAAGCCCAAGTCTTTCCCTAGACCCCACCCAACGATCACTGCCAGAGGCGCATTTAGCAACGCCGTTTGAATGGATGGGCCAAGGCAGTGAAAGAGGGCGAAGTTAATTTGGTTGTCCCTATGTAAAGAGTCAGTAGAGAACGGTGAATCAAGAATTTCTGCAATGCACTCCCACTTACCAAGCTTCGTCAATAGCAGTTAGATGCTCGGCCGCCTTTTCGACTAAAGGCACAAGAATGAGACCGACGAAATTGTCTGACACACCCCTCTCGACAATATGCTCAATTTCTTCTACCAAGAAGACTGCTGACATACAAACACAGGCGAGGGATGTTGCAATAGCGATGAAGCATTCGACTAGGGTGAGCTTTGCACGTTTCAACTCTTTCTCTCTGTCCTCATCTTGATGCTCATCATATTCGAGAACTTCGTCGAAGATACTATGATGACTGTGGAGATTATAGAATAGGTACCTGGAACAGTCAGCAAGTTGCTTTTCGTGAGATTGCCATTGCAGAGATGGCGACTGACATCATGAACGCGACCAAAAGAATCACTGCAGTGGCTCGACTAATGATCAAAGTAGATTGATCCAGTCTTTCCGGAGTAAGCTGTGCATGCTTTGAACTGCTACTCAGGGCCGAGTAGAAGGCACTGGGAATCAAAAGGCCGAAGCCTGCAACCAGCAACAGTCCGGAACCTACTTCGCTCACGGCTTCATGAAACGACTGCTCCTCCCTCCTAATGCCACCAAAAAAGAAACAAAGCCCTAAGCAGAGTAACAGATTTGCCAACACAGAGCCAAGGATCGCAGCCTGAATGACCGGAATGAGATCGCCATTCCTATCATTATGTATCAGAACCACGAAGAGAACTAGCTCCACCACAGAGCTTAGCGTTGTTTCCAGAAGAACGCCAAGTACCTTGGGAAGCTTCTTTGCAAGTTCTCCTCCCGCAAAGCCGAGCAGATTCGCCGAAGGAACCATACCTATGTAATTGAGGGCGAATACCCAAACATGCAGGTCAGGTCGAGCAAAGTGAATGGCGATAGCAGCGGGAACAAATGGCCAGAGGACGTTGACCAGCATGGACAAAGTACAGGTGCTTCGAAAACAGACCCGTAGGAAGTGGACGGGGTGAATTCCAGTGCGACCGCTTTCTCCAGCGGTATCAATGCGAAACAATCCAGTCTGTCGCTTGTGGTCTTCGTTACTATGCATTGGAAGCACTGTGTTGTCTTGCGACCCGTCAACCACGTGTACAAGGTCTGACAATAAGACCCCCGAGTTTCGAAGACCTTCCCGTCGCTCTGAGTGCGGACGCTGGCTCATATCACTGAGCACTGTGTAAAGCGTGAGGCCGTGTACACGAACACCACCAGTGCGGGTTTGATCAACGGTGTGCCAGGGCAATCTGTTCTTGGGTATTGTGCGAGGGGCAAGAAGGAGAGGCGGGCTGAAGTCGCACGTCTTACCACCGATGCGTAGGGAATAATAGTAAATTTATGGCCACGGACGCCAGATAGAAAGAGACAGCTGATACTAGGAAGATAATTCTTAGGCAGAATTGGCAGGCACCTATCAGAGACTGAGCATGGCGAGCATAACACGCGCATATATAAACAATCGACATGAATACTTGAGACCCAGATCGACTAGAGACTAGACAAGAGTCTTGGCAAGTGTGTTGGCGGCTGGCGAAAGGGTGATCGCATGGAGTAGTTCTATGCTGGTCCCACGCGGCTGGGGCATTGCCTCAAAATCTTCACAGTAGCCATGTGCTCAGGAGAAAGAGTGTTTTGAGACCGTTCATGAACACTATTGACGCGGTAGTCATCGGCGCGTCAAACATGCCTCCATTGCGCACAATCAAACTTACTGTATAGTCCGGGGGTAGACGGAGATAGTCTGCTTGATCTCAACCCTGCAACACTCACTAACTGCATGTGCACTAACTACAGAGTATCTCATGATATAAGTTATTACTCCGCACACTGTATTATCGCCAGCAGCAACCTCGAAGACTGGAGGGATAACAGTTGATGTGCCCCCTTGCCAAGAGAACATAGCCACAGCACCAGAGTCATCTATACAAATAGTACAGTAACTTACGATACCTAGTACTGTCACACTGCACAGGCTCATTTCTCCATTCTCCATGGGAGAACTACTCTGGAGTACTCTGGATATGATCACCGCCTCCTCACGATTAAGGGCTCAGCTGGGCGCAAGTTCCTGCTCTGTTAATATGATGCTGAGAACCGGAAGTATATAGAAATGGGTTCACGCCTATTGAGCTGGAGCCCATGCCGTTACTCCATGCAGAAGTGACCCGGCCCAATTGACAGCTACGGCTACCGTCGGATGACGGGAAGAGGGAAGACATTACGAGATTTTTACTTAGATTTTCTCATTCCCTGCAACAGTTAAAGTATCACACTCTTCCCCGCCCCCTCCCCCCTTCTTTCCCTTTCTCTTGCTTAGAGGTGTCTTAAAGGAGCAGGCCGGGTAGAACTGAATTCTTGTGCTTTGATTTACCCTTCTTCTCCCTCGTTGTCTGGAGCCGGTGCTTGTTCATCTTGAATAAATCGTTCACCATGTCCTCGACAACCGCTCCAGCCGTTCCTCCGGTAGCTCTCGAGACGATCACTCAACACATTGGAAATACACCATTAGTGCGGTTGAACAAATTACCGCGCAGCTTAGGCATAGAGGCCACGGTGTATGCAAAATGTGAATATTTCAACGCGGGAGGGAGTGTAAAGGACAGAATTGCTTTGCGCATGATTGAAGAGGCAGAGCGATCTGGACGCATCAAACCCGGTGATACTTTGATCGAGCCTACCAGTGGCAATACGTATGTTGCCTGGAACCTTGACTACATATGTGTTCGCAAATCATGAGCTAAACCTTGAGTTCGCGTGGTAGTGGTATAGGTCTTGCTCTTGTTGCTGCTGTTAAAGGTGAGTCGAATAGTCCAGGCTACGTCTCAAATACTATGTTGTTGTTATCCTAACTTATATACTTTGCTGGCACAAGGCTACAAAACAATTATAACTCTACCTGAGAAGATGTCTGCTGAAAAGGTTTCTGTGTTACGCGCCTTGAATGCTACCATCATCCGCACACCTAACGAAGCTGCATTTGACTCGCCTGAATCGCATATCGGTGTAGCGAAGCGCCTTGAGAAGGAGCTTCCGAACGCGCACATATTGGATCAGTACGGTAACGAAAACAATCCCTTAGCGCATGAGCTGGGTACAGCAGAGGAAGTCTGGGCTCAAACGCAAGGACAAATCACAGCAATCGTTGCCGGTGCAGGAACCGGCGGAACCATTACTGGTTTAGCTCGAGGCCTCAAGAAGCATAATCCTCAAATTCAGGTCATAGCCGCTGACCCCCATGGCTCCATCTTAGCTCTCCCTGCGACATTGAACCAGGAGCACTTGAATGAGCCCTACAAAGTGGAGGGAATAGGATACGACTTCATTCCTGAAGTTCTAGATCAGCAACTCGTTGACAAGTGGTACAAAACTGCTGACAAGGAGTCTTTCCAGTACTCTCGCCGCCTAATTGCAGAGGAAGGTCTTCTCGTCGGTGGAAGTAGTGGAAGTGCTATTGCGGCCTTGGTTCAAGCCGCCCGAGACCAGAGATTCAACAAGGATGATGTGGTAGTTGTGGTCTTGCCAGACAGCATTAGAAGCTACCTCACCAAGGTATGTAATAGTCTCATTTGCGTTTCTTTGAACCGACCATTGTTCTGATTGTTCTTAGTTTGCGGATGATGACTGGCTCGCTGCAAACGGGCTCTTGACTGTTCCCTCCATTGATGCAGCATCTCTGTCTCCAAGACTGGAGCCTCAAGGACAACAAGATGCATTTTCTGACTCAAAGGTCAAGGCACTGAGACTTAAACCAATTACAACAGTCCGGTCGAACATCCCGTGTGAAACCGCCATTGAGATGATGCGGGACAGAGGTTTTGATCAACTTCCTGTTCTGGCAGCCTCGGGGAAGAAGCTTGCTGGACTGCTCACATTAGGTAACATCCTGAGCCGGCTTACTCACGGGCGTGCGACAGGAAAGAGTCCCGTTGCGGATGTCATGTTCGATTTCAGCAAAATTCCCGAAATCGTCACGGATCCCAGAGACATGGGAATGGCGCAGCCTCAAAACGCACAGCAAATATCACACATCAGGAACAGGAAGTTCGTTGAGATCACCATGGAAACACCTCTTAGTGTATTGAACCGGTTCTTGGAATGGAACAGTGCAGCCGTCGTCACTGAGAGAGATGAAAATGGAGCGATGAAGCCAGTAGCGGTTGCTACGAAAGTCGACTTGCTGAGTTGGATGCTCCGCCACAACGAGCATGGCACCTCTAATCCTAGCATATCAAAGTAGGAACTATCTCGCGTGCTTCATCTGGTACTTTCGGAATCGACACGTCTTTTACTTGGAGTCTAGCTTCTTCAACGCCATCAGCTGCTATGATCTTTCTTATTTCTTGAAGGCTGGGGTTACGGAGTCTGGATAGAATTTATTCGGCGTGGAGGTAATAAGCACGGCTCGCTCTATTGGATTTGAATTTACAGTGTCGGGTTGTGTAGGTCTGACATAGTACCTGTCAGAGTCAAATTGAGCACCGGGACAATGATCACCACGACAATATTTTCAATTCTTTCAGAGTTCGTGTAGGGGATAATATGTACAATCTGGGCTGAATTGGCACCGTTACGAAAGGATACTATGGCTTATTTTAGTGAGACTGAGAGCGTGATAGATTGTTCTTCTGAAGTTGGAATATTGATTGAAACTTACTTCCATCTTAGTTCTGTGAAAACTTTCACAATGATTTTTGTGCCTTATATTTTGGTGTTACCAATGGACTCAAACCGAACATAGAGAGAGAAACACATACGTATGCATGCAGAAAGAACGCAAGGCTGTTCTTATCATCCCATTACGCGCCTGGTACCTCATGTCCCATAACTCATGTCACGCCTGAGACTAACTCACTCTGCGAGCAATGGCCAGATTCGAACTTTGCAGTTATATGACCTACAGGCACTGACCAATCCATTCCTCCCATTTGCGCACCCCGGCTCCAAGACTGCTCTCTTCATCACCCATAACCGCTCCTCCGATAACGTCTACTGCTATACCGACTTCATCCTTCAAAGACCGAAACGAAAATTTGTCGTGGGGGTTGCTGCTGCCCAGGATGTCGTCCTCGCCATCAGCAACGCCAAGTTCAACACTAGCATCCAAAAGTTTGTTGGTTCGAGAGTTCCGGAGTCTATTAATCTCATCCTCTAACTTTTCCCGCACTGATGCAGGCGGCAATGCTGTGAAAAGGTCTTGCTTGTTGGCGGCGACAAGTACAGGAACCTCAGACGCTGCCTTCCTTCCACTATGGAAAGCACGTTTTTGAAGGATTAAGAGCACATCATATAGATAATTTGCGGTATCCCGTAGTGTTTCGGGTTGAGCGAGTACTGCAGTGTCTACCACATACAGCACACCACGTAACTTTGACTTCGCATCCTTTGACATCGACATGGAGAGCAATTGCGAGATACCTTGAGATTCTCGGAGTTTGCCATGACCAGGAGTGTCCCTCAAGCGATATTTCACCGGGTTCTTGGCAATTTCCTTCAGCGAAGTGTCATTCACCGACCTGTAGCGATTCGATGCGGTCGGCACCGAGGCGGGGAGACTGATGATAGCCGTAGTGGATGTTTGCGATGTATGAGTGACTCGAGTGTCTTTACGGGCAGTAGATAGCGACTTTGATTCAAGCTGTTACTCGTAAGAGTTTCGTCAGCTAGACATGGAAGTGGAGAGGGATAAAACCCTTTGAGGGAAGCCAGACCAGGGTCAAGAGAGCGGTTTTTCCAGCCCCGTGGGGACCCAAAAGCAAGAAATTGCTAGATGGCGGAGATGCAACTGTCCGGTAGAAGAGAAGATGCAATAGGACGGGGAGTCCAAATGCGATGAAGACTGTGATGGCAATCGCGATAGGGCTGCCATCAAGCAAGCTAGTGGCTATGCCTTCTAACGAAGCCCAATCCCCGCGTGAACGCATTTTGAATGATTGCGCACGTGGGACTGGATAAAGTCTTTGGTCACGCTCAAAAGACAAAAATATCGGAGCAGACAGGGAAAGAGACGTTATCGAGAACAAGAGAGAGAGATTGCAAGGTAAGGAGCACAAGTGGTCAAATACTGTAAGTCTGTTAGGCGTACGTCGCTAGATGGATAAGATTACCTTGACTGGAGGCGGGCCTTCACACAACTGACGCTAAACCGCCTTCAACCATCCGTTACCTACCATGGCACCGTAGTAGAGTACCGGGAAGCTCAATGGTTGAACAAGAGGTATTCTCGCACCTCTGAGGGTAACAACCTGCATTGAGTAGGGTTTGTAAACAAATCTCTGGAATAAATGTCTATCAGAGCTGGAAATGCATGACTCTTAGACTGTCATGCCTGAGGGCCTTGGTGCCTTACTGCCTGTGCGAAGGGGCTTGGTTCCTTGCCGCTGCAATGCTATAAAGCAAGCAAGCATACCGTCAGATTGCAGGGGGCAACGAAAGGGCACCGTCACCCAATCTTCTCCGTTCCGATTGAATCGTTATTTTGCTCAATCTGTGGTAGCTTTTAACTCGCAGATGACGGGTAGTTCGTTGCATCATCTTTCTGGATTTTAGGAGCGCCCGTGCCCTCGATTCTTATTCTATGCCGTTTGTCACTGTCACCGCAGCTATGGACACTATACGCCTAATCTTGTTTCTTCTTGCCGCGTTGTCCCCACAAGCCCTCGCGGATGTGGATTTCTTGAATCCAACACTCGGCGCTACTCTACGAGTTGGGGACGTTCTCACGGCCCAGTGGAGGGAATCGGGCAGGCTTCCCCAGATCTCCGAACTCATAAAATACGACCTCTATCTCTGCGCCGACGGGGACTCAGCGGGAACTTATGTGGGGCTCGTGTCTATGCTCTCATCTGTCCCTCGGGTGTTTACTGACCGTTGCGGCTGGTGTAGGAAAATGTAGCTTTGCTAGCGAAGGATGCTGTCTTTGCGAGGGGTAACTCGATTTCTTTCAAGCTCAATCCAAGAAAAGAGGACAATCATGCAAGAACATTGTAAGGGAAAAAGTCCAAGTCAAGGGTGCTTTGGCTACGGCACAAAAATTTCCAGGTGTGCAGTCCGCTAACACGGACTTCCTTGACAGCTTCCTGAAAATGGTCTCTTGGGGGCCAAATGCCTCTGTTATAAATTTCTCTGGGCGATTTTCGATAGTTGACATGACCGGCCCTATGTCAACGTCTATTTGGCAGAGCTTACCTTCCACTAATGGCAGCTCCCCACTTCCGAATGGTGGACCTTTCCAACATGAAGAGCTGCGAAAGAGGCAAGTGGAAGATGCCTTCACAGTTCCATATCAACTGCAGACTGGGCCAACCAGATATGCACCGATGGCAAAAAAGCCAGCAACTACAATTCCAGCTAAATCACCGATCCCTCAGTTCCCGGCTAGCGCATATACCATAGCCACAACCTATCTTCCTCCGGCAACTGTTCAGATCACCCTTTCCGCTTCTGTGACATACTCTGTGGCTAGTTTCGAGAATACTGTATGTCTTGCTTTGATGCTGTGTTTTCAGACGCTGCGTCACTCGCGTTGGACGTAGTAAAGCTAATGGTTCTATTAACAGGCTTCTCCTGCGCCGCATTTGCACGACGCACAGATGAAGCGATTCTTAGAAAGATGGAAAGATTAGGTTTGACGCCTCATGGCCCAGTACCATCTCAATACACGTTAACACCTCGCCGCATCCCTCGATGGGTGGAAATGATATATGTGTCTTGTTCTAAGAACATTGCTCGACCGCATCGCACTGGAAGGTATGGTGTCGTGTTCGGGCTGGTCGACTTGCAAGCATACATTCTCTTTCATTGCAGTGCCCACTTTGTCAGCAAAGATCAAATGAGTTATGGTGTGAAACAATATGAGCTATGATGAGGAGCCGAGAAATGTAATTAAGGAGTGGGTAGATGTATCCTGTGCACACCCCTAGCCCCAAACAGTATCGCCCTTTGAAATCATAAAGACGCAATAATTATAGTGTCACATTTCCAGGATTTTCGGGGACGAGGCAAATGTTGAACATGATAGTATTCCGAGATTGTGCAATTTTAGACATATTTGCCTGCCACCAAAAATTGTGAGTCTCAGGGCTGAAAGGGCCAAAACTATGGTCTTCAACCTGAAAGAACTTGCAGGTGTGACGATCCGAGGCTGCATCGCCGGATGACTCCTGTAGGGGGGGGGCGAACGAAGGAGAAGGATCCAAAGCCTGCTAGTACAGCTCTTCTGAGTATGAGAAGGCATAAATTGCATTCTGGTACCAGCACCTGGCGTGATACTCAGGACATCTATCCACGTGCGCAGTCATCATTCTGCAGGAAGGCGATATTCTCGCGAAGAGCCACATATTCACTATCGGCATAGCCAAGAAGAGTCTGGATTTGTGTGCTTCTGTGGCCTTTGATGCGCTCAATCTCAATGCTGCCATAATTGACTAGGGCACGGCCAACCTCCTTGGGCTCTTGTCCATGATGAAGGAAATCACCATCCAAGGAGTCGGGCGATAGTTTCCCGATCACAACTAATCTTACCACTTCCTGTTGGGCAAAGTGACCTTCCACACCAAGTACACCGGCAGGGAGAAGACTCGCCTTCTTCTGAAGAGCACTATATGCACCATGGTCTAGGTAGACCGTACCCCGGGGTTTCATCCCATGAAGTAACCAAAATGAACGGGATTGTATCGGATTATCGGATGGGATGAAGCGTGTGTGTAGTGGTGGCAAAGTTTGCGAGCTGCTTGCTGCCTCAAAGCTCTCAACTGACTTGGTCACCGCTTCTGTTGCAGTCGGTGTATGACCCTGCCTCTGGAGATAATTGACAATAGCATGCACGTTTCCTGGCTTCGAACTCTTTGTGATGATAGTCGTTACGCCAGCACTAGTTCCTAGCTTCGCAGCGACAATCTTTGTACTCATTCCACCGGTTCCCAGAGATGACCCAGCTGATGAGACATCTGCTTCTAAGGTAGAAATATCCATGACGACTTCGATTGGGCACGCGTCGGGGTTTGTACGGGGGTTGGCAGTATAGAGACAATCGACATCTGTCATCAGAAAGAGGTAATCGGCCCTGACCATCGCCGCTGTAATTGCTGACAATGTATCGTTGTCACCGAATTTGATTTCCTGGCAGAGTGAGTTTGACGTCCGCAACATAGAAGTTGCACATGTGAATCGACCTACGGAAACAGCCAAAGTGTCATTCTCGTTGACGACAGGGATCACACCCATATCAAATAGCTGCGTGAACGTATTTTGAGCATTGATGTATTGTGTTCTCTACTATCCTGTCAGCAGTGGCGCATTCTTTTCAGTTGATAGCGATGCTTACGTCGGCAATGTCGTTCCTGGTCAACAGAATTTGCGCGACTGGCAGACGCAGATGCGCAAACAGACCATCCCAGAGACTCATCAGTCTACACTGGCCAACAGCAGCCAATGCCTAGAACCCCATGGTCAGAACTCGCAAATGATACGCGTACGCAAAGAAAATCTGCAACGTATACCTGTATACGAGGTAAATGTCTCGGTCTCTCTTCCACGTCCATGCGGCGTAAACCCACACCAACAGCGCCCGATGAAACGAGTACAACATTGTGACCTTCTTTGTGAAGCTTAGCAACCGTCTCAACTATAAGAGTGAGGATGGATAGTATGGGTTCATGAGTCCTCTCGTCTACTATAGAACTAGTTCCTGCGCAGCAAGTACTCGTTAGCTTCTGCTTTTCGTCAACCAATGTGTACTCCGCACCAAGTTTGATGACAATAGTCAAACGCTCGGAGACCATTGTGATGTGATCCTCGATCGACAGTTTGTTCAGTCTTTAATCATGTCTATCACAAATAGCTATAGTGTGGGCGCCGAAAGTTGGCTGCGTACGTCTTGACTCGGCCTCTAGCTAACTAATGATTAAATTGTTACTGAGTCAGCTGCGAGCATCGGAGGAATTAGTCCGTGCAGTGACTCAATTATGCCGATTCTCACCGCCAATTGACAGAGTTGCTGCGGAACTGTTGAAGGCATACACTTACGGGCATGATGATTCTTCACTTCATTATAGCTGAGATCTGGTTTCTCTCTCCTTGAGCGCTCATTCGAGAATGACTGACTCCCGTGCAACTGAAACTAAGCCGAAGATGCAAACCTCCAGTAACCATGGCTTCATCCCTGGCGACGACACTTGGACGCAATGGCGCAATATCTTCGCCATTTTAACCGGTAAAATGACTGATGAAGGCAAAGAACAATTTCGTATCGCAAGAGACGTACGGAATGAGACTGTGGACTGCAAGCGCTGCGAGGATCAGCGAGATTATCTATTGGAGTTTAGTAAGTCAGTCCTTAATGGAGACACGTGAAGTCATGCGAACTCAATGTTGCGGTACAAATCACTGACTGATTCTCTCAAGGTCCGGTGATCCGATACATGAGCGATAGCATTCGTCAGCTTGGAGGCGATCTGTCTAGCCACAATATATACTGTCGCCGGTGTACTAGTCGCAAAGCGGGGGGGTTTGATCCTGACTACGGAATTCTGCTTTGTGCGAATGAGATGAAGGACCAGAGTCACTTAGAGGATACACTAGCGCATGAGATGGTTCATGCCTATGATCACCTCAGATTCAAAATCGACTGGTCAGACAATTTAAGGCATGCCGCTTGCACAGAGGTAAAAATCAAACCCTTTACCATTTGCGCGCCCTGGGAGATAGCGATATAACTGATCATGGCTAGATTCGAGCCAGCTCACTCAGTGGAGAGTGTAGATGGGCACGAGAGTTCTTCCGAAGGGGTCAATGGAAATTGACACAACAGCACCAAGAATGTGTACGACGAAGAGCTGTCCTGTCAGTACAGGCAAGACCTGGGTGCAGAGATGAAGCCCACGCCGAAAAGGTTGTAAACGAAGTCTGGGACAGCTGCTTTAGAGATACCCGTCCCTTTGATGAGATTTATCGGTAGTCATGGATGGAAATCCATTTCCTTTAGAATTTGTCCCTAAACGTGCGTGCTATAAAACCCCTGCCATGTGCTTGTAGCACTAATCAGATTTTTCCGTTTAAATAAGAAAACCAGCATCTATATTGACGAAGAACACCAATGCTATTTACTCCGTGACGAGGAACCATGAAGAATGGAAAGGAAGACACTACAAAGAATGAGTCTTTCTAGACTCCCAAACGCCCTACAATGCCGAAGACCAAACAGTCAGGCTTTGACTTCCTTTGATGTACTAGGACTCCGCTTCAGGTCCTTCACGCAGTGCTTTAAAATCCATGGGTGACGTTGAATCTCGTCCAAGGAAATTCGCTTTTCCGGGTCGAGTACAAGTAGCTATTGGTCTGTTAGAGGAGGATTCGAATATAGTAGGGGATTTTGGCATACTCTTTTGATGAGATCCTTTGCTTCTGAACTCACAAACGAGGGTACACTCATATCGGCTCGGGCAATCCGTCGCTGTGTCATGACAGGAGTATCTTCAAAGGGCGCTTCCCCGACGAGAAACTCATAAGTCAAGACACCGAGACTCCATAAATCGACCTTCTCATTATAGTAATTGTCCTGGGATCCGGGTTTAAGCATTTCGGGAGGCAGATAGTCCAGTGTCCCGCACATGGTCTGCCTCCTGTTATTTGGTGCATGAACACTCCAACCAAAATCGCTGATTTTAATTTCCCCGTGAATACCAACAAGAATGTTTTCTGGTTTGATGTCTCGGTGCATGACATGCTTCTTATGTAGGTATTTAAGAGCAGCAGCCATTTGAGCAATATATTGTGCAGCCTTCCACTCAGGGAAACGATGCTCTTTCCGAAGATGCTTGTATAGTTCGCCTCGTCCAGCAAACTCGAGAATAAGGAAGATCCGTTTACTGTCGTGAAAGTGTCCATAAAGCCTCAAGACATTAGGGTGACGGAGGTTGCTCTGTATCTCGATTTCGCGTCGCACTTGCTTTTGTACTCCACCCTGCTGTAACTCGGATTTATGCAACACTTTCAGCGCGCACACGAAGCCTGAAGCTCTCTCCTTTGCTAGATATACTCGACCAAATTTCCCCTTCCCCAAAGGTTTGCCAATTTCAAACATTCCTAAATGTAATTTCTTCGGGGACGGTTGGTCATAAAGTGGGTTTGAATGCCGTTGTTCCCCGTTCTCATCGAGGTTCCGGTGTGATAGTGCACTCTGTGAACTCTTGATCGGTGATGAGCCAACGTTCATTGCGTTCACCTTATTCTCGTTCGTGTTCTGCAGGGCGAGCTTGAGTAAGTTGGAACGGCTGCTGCCGTTGTATTGCCCGGTACTAGAAAGGGGCATGGCTGTTGAACACGAGCTCTTCCTGGTCATCAGCGACTGTAACCAAATGTGATCCTAAATAACATCAATACCTTAGACTTCTGACAGATGCTACCATTTTGCGGCTTGTCGTTTTCTTCCTTCACTGAAAGGCGCTCAAGGCGCGCTTCAAGTGTCCTGGTGGCCATTTGTTAATGGCTGAAGCAGGTATGGTATAGGAAATCTGAGATAGAGAACGGGCGAGGTGCAAGCAGCCTGTAGCTGTTGCGGATGTTTTGGGTCAAGTTTACAAAGTGAAGAAAGGTATGGGATAGGAGTCGATATTTGGATATAATTGAGTATCAGGTCAGAGCTGGATGACAGTGACGCCGCTGTCGGGTGTTTATCGATTAATACGGACATTTTGGGTCGCCCCGGCAACTCATCGGTCCGCCTTTGCCTCCGGCACCCGCGGGGTATGCCTGGTATCATATGGGGAGGCCTGATGCGCTGCAAACGCAATTGTTTAACACTCAACCGACGATTTCTTGTATTCGGGATGAACCGTCTTGCTGGCAAGCCTCATGAGGGGGCGGATGCTACCGCAATGTCGTCACTTCCTCAACGACCTAAATCAATGGCAATCAACGGCTTCACAATCACCACTCAAACACTCCCAATACTGAAAGCGGAACCCATAGACAAGATGACGAAGAAATTAGGCATCGCCCCTCCAGAAATGATTTTTGGTGACAATTTTGTGGAGATTGAGCATAAAGACACTCCCTGGAAAATCACATTCAACGCATTCGATGCTTTAGATCGAGTCGATAAATCTGGCGAGTCCATGTTACAAGTCGCCTACTCGAAGCAATGGCAAAGGAGCAGGTATGAATATTATCCACTTCCTGCAAAGTACTTCTGTGCGGTAAATCAAAGGAGTGAGCTTGAGACTTACTTCTCCAGGGAAAGAAATCATGGCGGGATCAAGGAGATCGTCAAGCCCTTCGATTGGTCTTACAGCACGGACTACACAGGGAGTCTTGCCCCTGGTAGTCGACCCTTTGAGGCAACGACTAAACATATACCAACTGATCTTCTCAGGCGGCCAGATCCAATTCTGTTCTATGATGATGTCATTCTGTATGAGGACGAATTAGCTGACAATGGGATTTCCATGTTCTCATGTAAGATACGAGTCATGCCGGCCAGGCTCTTGTTGCTCGCCCGCTTCTTCTTAAGACTCGACAATGTCCTGTTTCGCCTTAGGGATACAAGGGTCTATGTTGACTTTGAAACTGGAGAGATCATCCGAGAATATCAATCCAAAGAGTGTGATTATGAATCGGTGAGACAGGTAGGTTGTTACATTGCCTTACATTCTTTTATATGGTTAATGAGTTTTCCAAGGCTCTGGCCTTAACGAGGGACGATGTCCCAGCTGCTATGAGAGATCCTAACAGGCTTTGTGACTTTATCCCCCTTGTTGAGACACGTTTAGAAAGGACTGTCCTGATGGTCTAAAGACCATACCGGGCCGACTACAGATTTATTACTCTCTAAATCTGCGTTTCTGGGACGATGACTCGTGATTTGTATGTTTCCCTAGTTATTGGGTACAGTCAGTGTTGAGGTATAATTATTCAAGAAATAATGTGGTGATATCATATTATGATACTCTCCATGGCCAGATTGTTCACAAGTCTCTGATTCCAAATACAGCCGCAGCAAGATAGTTCTTTTTAGCCAAACAGTATCACATTACAAGCTCTACAGTAGATATGTATATATTATGTAATATTTGAGATAAAGTTATAGCTTTACATCAAGGAGTCTCTTGTACATAATGATTTATGTACTCATAAATAGAGTTATAAAGCCCTCTGGGCTGATGTTTGAACAGTCTGGCATTCTATACATGTAAAAGGCTGAAGCCAGTAAGCCATCCGGTAGCGGAACTTGTAAAGTTCCGCCCTGTCTGGATTTCTTGTCGGAAGTAAGTCTTTGTCTGCCAACTGGCGGAGCGGAGCTTGCCAGTTGACAGTTCTTTGTATTAAGCTGGTAAACTCCTTAGGGATCCTACTCTATAGACTTCTCTATATAATATAAATATTAGATTAAGATCTAATTATTTTAGATAATTCTCTAAGTAATTTAACTTTAGATTAGTAACTTATTATCTTTATTATATAAGCTTTTTAATTCTTAATATTTTAAATTACTTCTCTATAGATAATAAAATAAATATAGATAAATTATTCTAATAGACTATAATAGTAGAAGTAATTAGTAAGATATAAGTCTAGATATAGTAATAGAACTAGTAGACTACTTAACTAGATTCAGCTCTAGCTATCCTAGTAGTATCTATTAGTAAGTCTAGAATATTCTAATCTAAAGTATTTAATAGAAAAGACTAGATAGTATTCTTTAAATAGCTAAGTATTATTAAGACTAAAATCTATATTAATAAATAATTTATTAGAAATAAAATAGAGTAGATTTAATATATATTTACTCTATTAACTAAAGATATAAAAATAAAGATTAATTCTTAAATAGAAGAGAATAGTAGAAATTCTAATATTTTTATAGTAGAAAATCTAGTAGACTATCTTCAGCTTAATTATAAAGATCTTATATAAAAGAAAAAGACTATTAGTTATCTCTCTATAATTAAGTAGAATAACTATTCTATAGATAACTTAATTATAGATATTAATTATCTACTAATTAAAATAGATAGATAGAACTAGTTAGATAATAATAAATAGAATATTCTATACTAGATCCTAAATAATACTATTTAATACTAGTTAATTAGAGTAGAGAGAAAGAAGAGATTTAGTAATTTCTATATATAGATTAAATAGATTAGAAATAAATTCTAAGAGATTAATTAACTTTTCTAGAGTATATATCTAAGTATAGTAGTTATTAGAAGTAGAGTAGAAAACTTAGAATCTAACTAAATAGATTAAAAGACCTCTACTATAGAGAAGCTAAAATAATATATAAAGTAGATTTCTAAGAAGAAGCTTATTAAATATAAAATAGACTAGCTCTACTTCTACTATAGTATATCTATCTATTATATAGCTAAGTATCTCTATCTTCTTTTATAGTACTCTACTAGAAAGAAGCCTACCAAGCAGCTAGCTATCTAAGTTTTTAAAGTAGTCCTAGAAGAAAAGAAAAAGAATAAAAAGTTATTTTAGCTAAAAAAAAAAAAAGCTTTTCTAATTTATTACTTAAGAAAATATTAACTAGTAGATATTTACTACTAGAGATTTTAAAAAGAAGCTAAGAAATATAAAAAGAAATAATTATTTATTATCTTAGATCTAGTTAATTAAATTTACTATATAGAAACTCTAGTAGATACTAGCTATATTCTATATAGAATAATTAGTAAAATCTTTATAGCTAAGTATTAACTAAAGTATATAAAAACTAAATCCTATAGAGTTTATAGATTTAAGAGAGAAAAGATTTATATTAATTAACTAGTTAAAATTAGACTAAATATAAAAGAAAGTATATAGAAGTATATATATTTATATATAGTTCTATACCTCTATAGATATAATATTATTCTAGAATTACTCTAAATAAAGTACTAAGATACTATTATTTAAGCTAGAGACTCTATATTAAAGATTAGAAACTTAGAGATAGAGATAAAATATAGTTAAAAAAAGAAGTATTTTATATATTCTATCTTTACTAATATCTAGTATATATAGAAGAATTATATAAAGAAAAAGAAATCTACTAAGATCTTTACTACTAGTCTAGCTAATATTAATAAGACTTTTTTTAAGCTAAATTATTCTAAGGACTCTAGAAATATTAAGAAAAAGCTATTCTAGTAGTACTACTAATTTCTTAAGATATTTAAATTAAAGAAAGCTAAGGGTCTTTCTTTATATTATCTAGAAATAGATTATACTATTAATCTAGAGAAAGATACTAATAGAAAAGAAAAGAAGATATTCTAAGAGTCTTTTTATTAAATAAATTAAGATAAGCTTCTAGTTCTTTATAAAACTCTAAATAATTATCTTAAAAAAGACTTTATTTAAGTTAGTAATTTATTTATATTAATACTAGTACTATTTATTTAGAAGTCTAGAGATAATCTTTAGTTTTATATAGATTATTAAGTATTAAACTAAATTATAATTAAAGACTATTATTCTTTATCTCTAATCTAGAAGACTTTATAGAAGATCTTCTAGTCTAAGTAGTTTATAAAACTAGATATAATCTAGATATTTTACTAACTATATATATAAGAGAAGAATAAATAGAAAACTATTTTTAGAATCTAATTTAGTCTCTTTAAATAGTTAATAGTATTATTTAGTCTAGTCAACTACTCTAGTATATTCCAAAGATATATAAACTAGATACTATAAGAGTTTCTAGATAAGTTTTACTCAGCTTATATTAATAATATACTGATTTTTATAGAAGAAAGCCTGGTAGAGTACTATATATAGATAAGAAGAGTATTAAAGTAGCTAGAAAAAACTAATTTATAAATAAATATTAATAAGTATAAGTTTAAAACTACTACTATTAAGTATCTAGATTTTATAATTAAAGTAGAAAAGAGATTTAGAATAGATCTAGTAAAGATTAAGACTATTAAGAAGTAGAAAATCTCTACTAATATATAGAAAATATAAGTATTTCTAGACTTTATAAACTTCTACTAGTAATTTTTATAGAACTAGAAGTACTATTTAGAACTCTTAATATATTTAATAAAGAAGAATATTAAGTTTTAGTAGATAAAGAAGACCTAGAGAATTTTTAATACTTTAAAAAAGATCTTTATTAGTACTCTAATTCTAGTCTATTAGAACCTAGAGTAGAAAATACTAGTAGAGATTAATTCCTCTAGATAGTATACTAGAAGTATACTTTTATAATAGTATAATAGTATTCTATAGCTAGTAGCTTACTTTTTAAAAAAAATCTATCTATAGAGTATAACTATTAGATCTATAATAAAGAACTATTAGTAATTATTTAGGCTCTATAAGAGTAGAAATTAGAACTAACTAATATATTTAAATTTAAGATTATTAGTAATTACTAAAGTCTAGAGTTCTTTATAATCTAGTAAAGATTAATTAAAAAATAAATATAATAGACTTACTTTCTTAGCTAATTTAATTTTATAATTAATTATTAGCTAGAGTAGTTAAACTACTAGTCTAATATACTCTTCTAGTAACTATAGAATATATTAAGTAAGACTAATAAGTAACTTATATATTAGAAGATCTAGCTCTTCTCCTAAAGGAGTAGCTAATTAATTAATTAGCTAAGCCTAATATCAGCTACTAAGAAAGCTGACCCTAAGGAAGCTAAAGAGACTAATTCTAAGAATCAGCTAGTAGAGTCTATAGAATAGAATAAATTATCTCTAAATAAGTAGTAGAAGTAGACTAAAGATAATAATAAGAATTTTACTAGTTACTAAAAGATTATTTAAGAAGAGATATCTAAGTTATCTAAGAAGTTAAAGTTTAAGATTTTAATTATAAAATATACTCTAGATACTAATAAATAACTACTCTTCTAAAAGTATTTATAGATCTCTAACTTAGAGCCTCTAAGAACTAGAATTATTTAGAAAAGCTATAATAATATTATTATTAGATATCTTAGCTAGAACTATACTTATAAGATAATAGTCTATATATACTTTTAACTATATATAAGTAAGAATATCTATAAATTCTACTATAATTATAATAGCTGTATAGTAAATTAGATCTAGAGAAACTAAAAGTAGAGACTTCTAAAGTCTCTACTAGTATCTAAGTACCTATAGTAAGATATTATAGTAGATTTTATTATATAGTTACTAAAGTCTAGAAGATTTAGAGATATAATAGTAATTACTAATTAATTAACTAAGAGAATAATTATTAAGCTAATAATAAATATAAGTATTAAGATAATAGTAGATATCTTTATTAGAATCTTTTATAGTAGATATAGAATATCTAAGTCTATTATTTCTAATTAAGATTTATAGTTTATTAGTAAGTTCTAGAAGCTTTTATATAAGACTTTAAAAATTAATAGAGATTTTTTAACTATATATTATTCTAAAATAAATAGTACTATAGAAAGAAAGATAATAACTATTAAGATCTTTCTTAGATACTTTATTAACTAAGTCTAAATCAACTAGTATAGACTCTTATCTATAGCCCAGCTAGCTCTGAATAATAGGGACTTATTAATCATAGGGATAAGTCTATTTTTTCTAAAATATAACTTCTATATAAAGCTTCTAAATACTAATATTAAATTAAGTCTATATATTAAAAGAATAACCTGAGAAGCCTAGAATAAAGTCTAGAGAATTCTAAATAAACTATAAAGAGTCTAAGATATAGTAAGCTTTAGTATAACTACTATCTAAGAAGCTTAGAAGAGATATATTAATTAGTAAAGAGATTCTATCTACTATTATAAAGAGAATAATAAAGTCTAGCTAAATCTCTATAATATTACTACTAAAAGCTCTGTGAAGAAACTAGATTATTATAATACTAAGTTTATAGTAGTTAAGCCAGTTAGCTTATATATATATTAACTAGATATATCTACTAGGATTTATTCTATATTTTATATAAATCTACTAAGATCTATAACTACTAATCTATTATTATCTTAAAAACTTAAGAACTAGTAGCTAAATATAATACTAATAAACTAA